GTTTTTACTGTAGGAATGACAACTTCCCAATATAATTTTCTATTGTCAACATTGCATTACACTTGTTTAGCTCGCGCATGCGCAATAAAAAAGATGGGACATGTTTCCGCTTGAGTAAGACTTCTGGTATTATCTCTTCTGTGACATAAGTCATTCATGTAATTATGGGATACTTGCAATCTTGTACCCGAAATTGGGATATTTGATTAAGGTGGAGTAATACGGGCAACAAAATTGCTGCAACTTGCAACAAAATCTGATTTCTACGCATGTTAATTGAAAATGTGTACACATATATTACAAATCACGAGGCAACATGTGTCAACATTTCTACTTAACATGCGTTGAAGTCAGATTTTGTTGCAAGTTGCAGCAATTCTGTTGCTCGTATTACCCCAGCTTAAGAATCACTAGATATTTGCGAAGTCATGTGAGTATTAAATAAACTTGCGTCGTCACAAATCAGAGTGAAACACTTATACAACAAAACGATTCGGGCAATGCTGTTTTCTCAAAATAATTCTATTGTTACATGTAAAACGTCCTTTCTATTTTATGTACTGTCGATTTTTTTCATTATCCATGAAAATGCATTGAATGTTATGAAAATTATCTGGACAAAAATCTGACCTACCACTGTACCAGCCAGCTTGCCGTGATTAAGTGAAGGCGTGTTGCGATTGGTTGAAATCTGACCATACATTGTCCAGTCCTAAGCATTGATTTCAACAAAACCCTCTGAACAAAACCCGTCAACAGAAGCGTGTCGCCAACTCAGCTTATTATTAAAACCATCATTTTAAAGATATATTTCACTTCAAGGATAATTTAAATCCGATAGAACAATTTGGTAGGAAGTTACATAAGTAATATAAACGATTGTATACAGTTGGATCCATTCTTCCACTGCAAAGGAGTAAAGGACTGCAGAGTAATCTGACGTCAAATTATCTCTCGGACGACAAGGTAACAGCTGTTTTGTCTTTTATTCCAATAGTGGTAATTTATCGCATCGTTTAGTTTCATTGAGAAGGTCTGTTTAAACTATCATTGTATACAGACGTGAGCTTTATTATGAGTGTACTGCATAAACTGCAAGACTTTTGCCTCAATTTCCTCTTGTAAACATGCAGGAAACGCTTGTTCATTTGGGCAATTTCAGATTTAGTTGTTTATTTATTGGTCTAACTTTGAAATAGTTCACAAATTCTGGCTGTAGATTTAGTAGGGCACTAGTTCAATGTGGTCGAAATTTTATTATAGTACACCACTGTGTAATGTCCAGTGGTAATGTTCAGTACGCGACTGAGATCTGTATAATAAAAATGCCTCTCACACTTTCAGCACAGCAAATGAGCTCTATACATTGTATATTTATGTAATAACGTGTTCAAATTTAGGCATTTTTCTGCTCATTTTAACACTATAGGTACATGTATCTATAATGGCTACAGCACCAGCCACTGATGAACAAGATTTACGTGAGTATACAAAATATCAAATTTAGCTTTGTTATTCTAGCACAGTTGGCAGCCTTGGCAAAATTGCAGTTGGCAAAATTGCCCTTGCAAATAGGCACCATTTGATATCTTGATAAGTAGTTCCCTATAATTATAAATTACCTTATAGGCAAATCTCAAGAGCGTATAAACTGTCAGACGGTATTTGCTTGTTCACACAAATATCAAAATGATTGCCTTGTATTTTTAGCTTTGCTAACGAAATCAACTATTTTAACGGATGTTTATCAATATGTTAAGCACCCTAAATATTTCATCGATGAAGTAAAAAATAGCTTAATGCAGAACAAAGCGATCAGTGTAAACCGTTCTACTGACCAAGTATTAAAAGAATATTTAGTTCGAAATTTAGTTTATATGTCTTAGTCTAGGAAGAATGGTTTATATGTTGTCATGCATATGTCGTTTAATAATAGTTTGGGTTGGTCATGTGAGTATTCGAGATATAGTCAAGAGTTAAAACAACAAATAATAATATAGCTTCGATAATATAGCGGTAATATAGCTTTGGTTTTACTAGTAGTCCTTAATATATAGTTGTGTTTTTGTCATACATAACGTTTGTATGAAATAAACAATTCTAACAATGACTCCAATGTAACAAATTATCCTTTTAATAGCTAAATTGTGCATTTCTTCACCAAATAACCGCTGTGGAAAGTGGCTTCGTATTATGCCCATTATAATTGCCTATATTATATCTCAAAGCAAATTTGCTGTTGCCAAACAACTGTTTAGATGCGTGGGTTATACATTGTAAGTTTTAATTTAGTCCATGTTCCCAAGCAGAAACAAAAAAAACACGGCATGAAGCCAGTTGACTTCTTAATATGTAAATTACCTAATACAACATTCCTTCATACGTTTAACTGAAGTTGTCGTGGATTGTGAAGAGCGTCTGATATTTTACTGTGCTAGAACAAACCTCTGTTAAAATATATTGTATATTCGTTGTTGATTGGATTAATGTAAACTGTTACATTGTCAATAATCTAAGATTTTACAGCAGGAAGCTTGCTTGGTAAGTTTCATTAGTTTTACACCAAGTGTTGTATATTACGTACAGTGTTCATACTCATTGTTCTTGTTTGGTATTGTACTGGATAAGCATTTATTTCTTTGGAAAGCATTGTACAAAGTTAAAGAACAGTCTAAAGTCTGCTTCTTTTCCATCTGATAGAGAATATTTAGCAAAGGCCCAATATTCAGTCAACCATGCATTCCAACATAAACTGCTCCTCTTAAATTAAAGCACAAATATTTACCTGTATATACATACATTACTTATTCATTCTTCCAAGTTTTAAATTTAGAGGATAAATTTGGCTTGATATGTTGTATTATGGACAACTAAATATAAGTCAATTTTCCTACAATCAATTTAATCATTTCAATGGCATATGACTGTTCAATTTTGACATTTGTTATAATTTTATAAGCTTTCTCTTACACATCTGAATGAAATTGACTTACTGGTAAACTACCAAACGGCAAATGTATTGTAAGAGAATATATGTTCACAAGGTCTCTCACACTGTGTTTGTTTACAAGGTGAAGCACACATATTTTGTATGCATGAGTGCAGAGCACATTGTAAGAATTATCTAGAATATTAGATGTAATGTAAAAGTTTACAACATATGGAGTATGATAAAATGATAAATTCAATACAATAATTAGCAACATACACAAAATACAACACCATTACAGTAATTAGTGGTGAATGATGAACAAGATTTTGTTGGTAGGGATGAAACTACCTGAAAATATATACGGAGAATTTCGAGCGAAGGCCCTTTGCTCGAAACGAAGGGCCTTCACTCGAAATATCAAAATTCTCCTTATATATTTTCAGGTAGTTGTATCCCTACCAATGAAAGCTTGTTCATTTTATTGGCACGATCTAGACTGACAAAGACAGTTGAAGATTATTGGTGATGGTTGAGTAACAATAAAATAATTGTTTACAGTGATTGTATGCAAAAACAGTTGCAGTGTGAGAGAGATAGTTGTATCTCTCTCACACTGCAGCTGTTATCATCGCTACCTACACTGGCACTGACTGTTAGTAATTGTATGTGTATGTGTATGTTGGTGATTTTTATTGCAACCAAAGATTGAGCACAGATTGTGTGTTACCCTTAATGTTCATGGCCTCATGGGGATGTGCTGGATCTACATACTTGCATCTGATCATGCAAATATGTTTTTTAATTCACTTAAAAATGCTTAAATGCTTAAAAATATGCATGCAGACATTAAAATATAGAGTCATAAAATATAGACATTAACCCATTAAGCTGCAGAGCTTCCCCATTGACAAGTAAAATCGTCTGGTGTTAGACAAGTAAAAAAATAAGTAGGGCACACTGGTGCGCATTGCAGCTCAATGGCACAGGGTTAGCGTGGGTAAATAAAGTTTTTCTATCTATCTATAGACATTGTCAGATTTTTTGATTAACCATTAAGCTACAGAGCTTCTCCACTGACGAGTAAAATCGTCTGGCGTTAGACAAGTAAAAATAAGTGGGGCGCATTGCGGCTCAATGGGTTAATTTGGCAAAATTTGGCAAAAATTTGTTAATTTGGCAAAATTTCCTACTGAAATTTTATTTCCCTGTAAGAATTCATATTGGACAGATTCTATAATAATTAATTCCTAATATTAAGGAATTCCAAATAATATGATATTTTCATATGCATGCACCTGTGTGTATATGACTGACATGCAATGACCATATTTGGTGTCACATGGAAAATGTTGTCATAATTAAATATTTGAAGATTTTAATTTGTTTGCATGAGCTGCTGTGAGTTGAATAAATGTTCATGTTGAGGTAACTGATAATTTCTTATTCACTTGCAAATTATGTAATAATTTGAATGTTTTGAAACAAACATGTATAGTTAATTGTTTATTAACCCATTGAGTGCCAGCATTCTTTCCTTGATGAGTAAAATTGTCTTGTGTTAGACAGAATAAAATTATAATAAACTATAGTTGGGACATTAGGGCAACTTAATGGTTAAAATATTTTACTAAATTCGTCAAATTTTTGTAACATCATTTCATTGCTTCTTTACTACAAATACTGATTATATATAATGATAATATTAGTTGGTATGTATTGTACAAACTTGTAAACTAGAGGTCTCCATCAAAAGCCAATATAGGTTATGTATCAGTCAATTCCAGCAGTGCTCATCCCCAGGCCACCCCCAGGGTATGTCCCCACCCCAGGGAAGGAAGACCTGTGCTAAAGCCCAACCCCTGGGCAAAAAATTGGGTCTATATCCCAACCCCTGGCTGGGCAATAATATTGACTGTTTAGTACATGTTGATTTGCATATTGTAATTCTATGGACAATATAAATGCAAAGTAGAAAATAGAAGTTCTACAACAAGAATAAAAATGCTTTTATATTAATGCAACAGTATAAATTCTTAACCCTAACTTCAGTGCATCTAGCTAGACCTATTATATTAATGTCACCCTTTGAAAATATTATCTTTACTTATTGTCAATTTCAAGTCACTTTTCAACGTGCGGTTCCAAAGTTTGTTGCCAATTGTGTTTCCATGTTCAAAAATTGGGTGTGAACTTCACAACAAAGTTCACATTGTAGATTTCAATGTTTGAACTATTGTAAACAAATGTTCATAGTTCAAGTTGAAATTAACATCGTTAATACAATTCAATGGAAAGTTCTTGGTCTGGTGGGCTACCAAGAAGGTTTGTATTTTATTGAATTGGTTATAAATTATTGAGTATGAACATTTGTTTATAAACGAAGATCTATTTCGCGCCCAATTTCTGAACTTGGAATGTGAATTGAAATCGACAATAAGTCAGGTTTTGTATGTTGCTGATGGTCGACGATGCACTCATAGATCATTGTGATCATTGTTCGTTGAAGGAGAAAACTATTTCATGTAGACAAAGGATTTTACTCATCAACAGGGCTGCCAACTCTCCCGGATTATCCGGGAGTCTCAAGATTTTGGACCTAATCTCCCAGTCTCCAGATTTTGTCTTAATTCTCCCGGATTAGGATAATCACCAACGTCGATTTATGCACTAGCCATTTGATTCTTCGTTGTCAAAGGTTTTAACAATAAAAATTATTTGTGTTGCACATTCGTTTTGCTGGTAAAATAAAATTCTTTCGTTGCTGCCTGCGTTGCTTTTAATCAGCGGTTGAATGGCACCATTTTCCGTAAACACTTCATCTTACAGGGATTTTTTAACCCGTATTGACGCCATTAAAGATGTCGATATTTTATTAAACTAGTACATAATATTGTGAAACTTGAAATCAACAGTTATTTGTGTTCAGGGACGCCGGAACTGGGGGGGGGGCAGGGGGGCTGCCCCCCCCCTGCCTTTTGCTAGGGGGGGGGCAGAAGTGTCCTTTTAGTTTTAAAATAGTACGCGATAAATCACATTTCCAACGATGCTTTTTGTAGGAAAATCATGCAATTCAGGCAATTTATAGTTAATATTTGTATGTCCGGAAAAATTTTTGACCCCTAAAATGGTACACTGGCCGAAATTTTTTTGGCGACGTGGGTAGGGGGGACGTTGCCAAAAAAAAAATGCATATCAATTCTCCAGATTTGAAAACTTCCAGGGTTGGCAGCCCTGCATCAATGCATGATCAAAGACAATGGTAATAAAGAGCATTGTCGACGATCGTCAACATATAAAAACCAGGTATACTTCAGTACCATTATAAACTACGTACATGATAGAAATGTACAAACAAGAATATCAAGGATTATTGAAAAGTTTATGAGCCATGATGGAAAGCATCGAAGTCCCCACCCCCAAGCCAAAAAAGTTTGGCAATATCCCCCCCCCCCTGGATTAGGAAAAACTGCAAAGGCCAGAGGGGATGGGCACTAGCTGCTGGAATTGACTGATACATTGTACATATGAAAAAATCTTGCATATTTCTGTACTGGCCGGAGGAATTTGAGATTAGAGATGGTCTAAAATTGACCTTGTAACCACCAAAGCTACCAGTTGGTATTCATGAATGACTTTCAATTCATTACACTGTTACAATAGTACACTTTAGTAATGCTTCTCACCTGCTTAATTCTAACCTTTTTCTAACTTGTGGTACTCCTATAATTATATGAATTATTGAATGTTAAGCCATCATCTTGCCAATCTCTGGGCGCATTGCCAGTTAATGAGTTAAGTCCTGCAAGACGGCCAAAACGACCAGCTACTTGCCTATCTGTGGCCGCCAACTTTTGTCCCAACAAAATTAATTATATAAACAAAACTGAGCAATAAACAGTAAAATACTTTCTACTTTTCATCTCTTCTACTTCAGAGTATCAAAATTGAAACATTAAAAGATTCAATGATTGAAAAATGGTCACACTTAATTAGTCGTGAACAGTACCATTTTTTGTGCATTTTATGGCTACTCTGAAGATTACTCGGCATAGATCAGGGTATTTAGATATGAGGGGCATGCACCAAAGGTATACCAGCGGGGACCCTTATTTTTAGGATTGAAAAAAGCATGGAACTCATTAAAGAAAAAAGATTATAAAATTTATTCATTGACCAAATATTTGAACAGCTAGTTCATATTACTTATTTAATGGACCATTCCCCAATTAACCAAAATTTTGAACTCAACAAGTCTAGACAAAAATTTCATCACAGCTTGAAAGAGCATCACAAAATTAGTAATATTCCAAAGTTTCGTTGCAAAATGTTGTAAAATGCGGATAATATGGCCTTCCGAAGTTTGCAATTTTCAGTCATTTTAGATTACAAACGGGAAATGGTTACCATGCACATCTTTTCGTAATACAAAATGACTGAAAATTACAAACTTCGCAAGGCTATATTATCCGCATTTTACAACATTTTGCAACGAAACTTTGGAATATTACTAATTTTGTGATTGCTCTTTCAAGTTGTGATGAAATTTTTGTTTAGGCTAGTTAAGATCAAAATTTTGGAAAAGTGGTAACCATTTCCCGTTTGTAATCTAAAATGACTGAAAATTGCAAACTTCGCAAGGCTATATATTATCCGCATTTTACAACATTTCGCAACGAAACTTTGGAATATTACTAATTTTGTGATGCTCTTTCATGCTATGATGGATTTTGTCTAGACTTGTTGAGATCAAAATTTTGGTTAATTGGGGAATGGTCCATTACCTAGGCATACTATCATAGACATATTATTCATCTTTTGAAGGTTGACAGAGTACAAAGCAACATCTAACCGTAAACGATTTAATAAGCTCTGTTCAGTGCCAACAGGAAATATCCCCCCCCCAAAAAAAAATATATGCCCCCTGGGCCAAATTGCCTAGGAATATGGACTGTGTGGGAGGGGCAAATTTAACGGGCGGGCCAAAGTTCTTGGGATATCGATTCTGGCCAGAACTTCCTAGTGAACTTTTTTTGGATCCTGGCCTTAAAATATTGGTTCTGGTGCACTGCTATAGTTTGTTTAGTCTTAGAAGTCGAGGCCATAATTTTGACACAATTTCAACAGGTTACAGTCTACCACCTGTTTCTACTGTCTGATTGCATAAAACCTGCAGATTGATATTATATTGAAAATTCCTGATATTTTCATTCAAGCAGCCAAGAAACCACGACGGTCTGTGATCCGCAGTTTGAGCTGGAAACGTGCAAGTAAGAGAACCAAGATGGATGAGAGTGAGCAAGAACGTGTTTTTTCAGCAAGTGTTGATGCAAGCATCGACGGAAGAAGTTTTAATACAACAGCAAGTTCTGCACATGGTATGTCTGATGAAGATGCAGAAGATACTATATTTGACAGCAGTACAGCGTCAAGTTCTAAGAAACGTAAAAAGGCTGGCGTTTGGAAAACTGTGAAAAGATTTTTCTCCAGGAAAAGTAGCAAAGGATCTCGAAGTCAACCACAGAGAAGTGTGTCAGATCCGAACCTTATACAAAGACCTAGTGAGAGGCCAGATGTAGCACCATTAGAACAAGTTGATGAAACACCAATGGACACCCATAGTCCTCCAAAGAAAGCAATGAGTGTAAGTTCCATGTTCAGTAATACACCCTTCTGGAAAGTGCTTAACCTTGGCTATAGAGCCTCGTTTTCGGGATTGAGATATCAGCTTCAGGCCTTTTATCTTGTTACCGATAATTTAATTATATAAACACTAGTTACCTAATAGACCTGTATCATTTCATAAATGTGTCAACTGCAACAAGATAAACGGCTCTAAATGCAATAACGAGACTCAATAGCCAAGGCTACTGTAAGTACTTTCCGGAAGGGTGTATTGTTTTCAAATTTAGTGTTTTCTAATATAATTACTGCTTGCCCAGATATTGCTGTGGACTACAAAATAGATACATTATGCCAAATTATGCCTTACATGTAAACGGTTGCTTCGAATATACGATTGTAAATTAAGCTTGTCAACATAGTGGTACAAAAGGGAAAAAGAAGAACAATACCAGAGACTTACAGTATGTCATATACCAACAAAGAAAAAAATTATAAAATAATAAAATTAGTGGAAAATGAGCTAGCTAGGCAACAATGCCTAAGAAACAAAATTAACCAAAATTGCCCCTTATTCAGTTAATTATATATATTCACCTGATAACCCTCTTTGAGTTGGCAAAGGAACGTGCAACCCAGTGCAGATCGCCTAAGTTGCCTAAGTGGCGCAGTCGCGTCAGAGCAAGTGCCTTTCACCTCTAAGTTCGTGGGTCCGATTCTCGCTACGGACTCATGTGAAAAGAGTCTGTCAACGCTCTGCCGAAAGTCGTGGGTTTTCTTCGGGTGCTCCAGTTTCCTCCCACAGGGAAAGTTGACAGGGCGGGTTAGGATAAACACAGTTAAGAAAGTAATATCATATTTGTTGCAAAGATAAAATAGTCCAGGCTAGGTATGTAATTAGGTAAGCGTAAGACTTGATGTAAAGCGCAGTTGATCATATGCACGTGTAAATTTGCGCTGTAGAAATGTTAATCGTTTTAAAAACCGCGATTATTCGTACTTATCTTTAAGACTGCATGCGATATTTTATTTCGTATGCATTTTGGGAAATATGCATAGGGGGTAATAGTGACATCCATACTATGAAATTTGCAATTGCATCAATCCATAGTATATTCAAACTATTTCCATACCGGCCGATTTACACTACACAACTTTTGCCTAAAACTGTAGCGGCGGTCGCATGCAACCTGCTTACTACTTGGATTGTACTGTGTAAATCACAACTCGCTTACATTGTCGTAGGTGATTGATTCACAGAGCACAACTCAAGTTGTAAGTAGGTTGCATGCGACAGTTTTAAGCCTGGTTCACACTGGTCGTAATTCATCGGCGATCTATTGTATTCTTTTCCGACAGACAAAGCATTTTACACACCAATGACTTCAAGCAATGGAAATCCCCGATTCTTACGACCAGTGTGAACCAGACACTGGTCGTAAGAATCGGGGATTTCCATTGTCTGTGGTCGTTGGTGTGTAAAATGCTTTGTCTGTTGGAAAATAATACAATAGAGGCCTGGTTCACACTGGTCGTAAGAATCGGGGATTTCCATTGTTCTGTGGTCACTGGTGTGTAAAATGCTTTGTCTGTCGGAAAAGAATACAATAGATCGCCGACGAATTACGACCAGTGTGAACCAGGCTTTAGGCAAAAGTTGTGCAGTGTAAATCGGCCAAACCATAACCATAACCATAGTATAGAAATTGCAATTTGTATGAAAATTGGATTTCCATACTATTTCCAACGAATATCCATACTATTTCCATAGTAAGGATTTTGAAAAGAATTTCCAGTGATGTTTACATAATTATGAGACTGGGTTGTATGAAATACGCTACATTCAATTGTTCTGTTGGTCATGTCGTGAGTGTGTGTTGCTGTAGTACAGTACTGTTGATCCTCTTAACTTGCTATGTTTCATTATTTTTTGTATAGCATGATAGTTTGTTGTCAGAACTCCGTTCAAAACAGAGAGACGATGTTGATAATGAAGACGGAACATCTCCAATAACACAAGTATCTGTTGTTGTGCAGTCTTCAGGTGAGATTGTACTTTAAATCATTTCATACTGTAGATGCCAATTTAAAAATCGCTTCATACTGTAGATGCCAGAAGCTTCCTTTCGTTTTGGATTAAGTTGAAGGAATAGACCATTCAGGAAAGTACTTAGCTTTTGGGATATCGGCTTTAGAGCCCTTTATCTTGTTACTGATGTCCTAATAATATAAAGGTCTTTTTTATAATTTAATGTAACTGTATGATTTCGTAAATGTGTCCATCTGTAACAAGATTAAGGGCTCTAAACCCGATATCAAATGTCATGAAAACAAGGTTCTATAGCCAAGGCTGAATATTTTCTGGAAGGCGTATTGAGCCGATTTACTCTGTAGTCACGAGACCTTTCTAATTAAACTTATAACAAAAATGTGATGTAGCTAATGCGCAATATGTAAATGCTCAATGAAATGTTCCTAGTTTCATCTGAATTAGTTGCAAATTTTCGACGTGATTCTCGTTATTACTTTCTCAAGTTTCAGGAATAAATTTGTCTTTTTTTCTCAACAATAAACCTTTTTATTGCAGATATTGACTGGCGAGCGTCTCCAAGTTCTACTCCTGAGAGACTGCTTCCTGGTCTTAATGTGTCGCATGACAAAATAAGAGTTGCACCCCGCCACAGGAGGGCCCCCACACGCAAGGGTGTAGCTTCAGTGCGTCACGGTGGACATGATATCACTGATGGTAACGTTATACCACGAAGCAGGTCTGTTGGTGCGCGTATCCAAGGTAATGTACTTGTGGAACAATCTGAAGTACAGCCCAATGTAGAAGAGCTGAAACAAGAAAGAGAAAATCTAAGAAAAAGAATGGAAGACGAACAAAGACAACGCCAACCAGAACAAGAAGAGGCGAAACAGAAGCAACTAGAAGATGAAAAGCAGAAACTTGAACAGCAAAAGCTTGAACAGCAAAAACGCGAACAAGAAAAGTTAGAGGAAGAAACGTTAGAGCAAGAAAGACTTGAAAAACAAAAGCTTGAAGAGGAAAAACGTCAAAAAGAAAAATTGGAAAAGGAAAGACTGGAACAGGAAAAACTGGAAAAGCAAAGACTTGAACAGGAAAAGCAAGAAAGACTGGAAAAAGAAAAACTTGAACAAGAGAAACTAGAAAAGCTAAAACTTGAACAGGAAAAACTTGACCAACAAAAACGTGAACAGGAAAAACTTAAACACGAAAGACTTGTGGAAGAAAATCGTCGGCAACAAGAGAACAACAAATTAAATCAATACAATATCCGACAAACAACAGATTTTAGTGATTTAGCAGAAAGCCTGCGATCGTCTGCTAATTCCAAGGAGACGTACAGTGTGGAAACAACCGAAGTTGAAATGAAAGAAACAACTTCAGAACAGAAACACGACACATCGAGAGATATCAGTGAAATACGTGGTGTCGCTCTGTATCAGAATATTGATATCGATAATGTTAAAACTGAGGATTCTCATGCCGTACTGGATATTGAAATAAATACTGATGATCGGCAAACTACGAATGACTTTGCTGTTTCTCCTTTGTTAGCAGCAGAGGGAGTAACTGCGTCAACAAACCAAGAAATTCGTGGGACAAACCAAGAAATTCGTGGGACAAACGAAGTGACCGTTGTAGAACAATCGGGAGAATTTCAACCAATGTCGATTTCTGAAGAAGATGTTCATTCAGAAAATATTACAAGTAAACATCCCGAAACTGTAAAAGTACCTGCAGTTGTTGGTGAAAAAATAAGCGAAGACAACACAGTTGTAACTGTTGAGAAAGAAGAAAGCCCTCCATCAAGCCTTCCATCAAGCCCTTCTTCATGTTCAACTCCACGTTCTCCTGTACGAAGCAAAAGACTTATCATTGAAACCCCTGAGAAAGTTTACCAAAAACCGATCATGCCAGAAGTACGAACCGAAGAAGTTGAAACCAAGAAAGAGAAATCGGACGGTCGTAGAGGTATCCAGCGTAATCGTCCACAAAGCATGCACAGTCGAATAAGACCTGTAGTAGAGGAAAAGAATCGGACACAGGACGACTCGAATCTTGGAGTTGCCAAGTTGAAACAGGCGTTTGAACGTTCGTCTAGGTCTCAAACTATCTCGTATGATCGAAGGAAGAAACCGGAGGTCCTACCCAAACCAAAACCACCATCGAAGCCTAAACAATCCCAGAGTCTCGAGAGAAATTATCGTTTTCCCGTCACGGCAAGTAAACCACATGAAATGGAGAAATCTGTACAAAAGAGCCCGAAGAAACAAAATGATGATGTTGTTGTTGTACTAGATGAAGTTCCAAATAAAGTAGTGGAAAAGAAGGCAAGTGTTTCGTCAAGTCTAACAAAGAAAGCACCTGGACTCAAGCCAAAACCTTTGCCTAAACCACAACCTAAAATAAAACCAAATACAACCACCAAAACAGCTGATGAAGGGAAAGAAAATATAAAGGTATGTGTAAAAAAAGCTAGAAAAATTATATAATTAAGTCGAAAACCATGACAGATAAAGAATTGATGTATGTGGTTTAGAAGTTATTGTTCTTTGTTCACGAATTCTCCGCAAAACGCATATTTATTATAATTCAAAGACCCTGATGGAAGAAGTTAACGGCGAAACAACATTTAAAGGATATTCATTCCCGTTTGTAATAAACGACCTTTCAATGATCTAAAATTGTCTGATACAAATCATTTCACGTGAGAAACCCCCGCCTAAAGAATTATGGACATTTTAAACAGCAGAGCCGTATCTTGTTGGTGGTCAATAAGTATTATTTATTTACTGAGACCGAGGGAAACGGCGTGTTTTGTGGTGCCGAGACTGCCGTGGGGGGCACAAAACAAGCCGTTTTCCTGAGGTCTCAGTAAATAAGTGTTTTATCATATAGCAAGTGTCAAAGTCTTAATAATGTACCTGGTATTCCGTCTTTATCTCTTAATAATAGATTAAAATCTTCTTCTGAACGACTTGCAAACCGACCGTCAGACGTGGGTAGCTCGCGCCTCACTTCCGGTTTTATTACTGACCGGTCAGTAATTGTTTCATTGTTGACCACTTGCCCCCTCACCAAAGCATGCAGTGAACATGACGTTTTGTGGACCGGCACGTGATACGGTTTTCTATATAATAATTGCTACATAATAATTTCAATTGACACTGTAAAGCCGGTTTTCCATTCGCGGAATTTTGCGCGTGGAGCAGAATTTTTCTTTGTCTTTTCTAATTAGTTCCACCCGAGAAATCACAAGGCAAAGAAAAATACCGCTCCGCGCGCAAAATTCCGCCCAATGGAAAAACGGCCTTTAATCAGGGATAGATCCACCCAAATCTGGTCGGGGTGGACGTGTGTGATCATAGACCGTTGACCATAGACCGTTGACTTATTTTTGTTTTTATAATTGCCTTTCCAATTCAAAAAAGATGGATTTGATAATTAAGGAAACTGGCAACCCCGTTAGCGCTCCTTTGCCAAGGCTAGGAAGGATGTGCGCACCGCCGCCCCTCCCCTGTAAATCCATCTCTGACTGTAATGTTCGTTTTGATAGAAAACACCCAATGCTCCATCAGTGTCGAATGGCAGTGTCAAGATGACGGATTCGACAGATGGGCATACTGAAGAAGGATCTAAAGATGTACAATCTGATCTACCATCATTCTTGGCAAGAAGAAGTATTTTCTCTCCGGAGCAGAAAACTAATAACTCCACGCCGTCACAAGAAGAGAAGCCAAAGGTAAAACATTCGCCATTTATCCACCTCAAGACAGATACTTGTGCTGTATGTGGTTCCAAAGTTTATCAAATGGAGAAGTTCAAAGTGAAAGATAATATCGTTCATAGAAGTTGCATCAAGTGTTCAGTGTGTAAACGTCTTCTGTCAGTTGGAAACTTTATTATGTCACAGAATAAGATATATTGTAAACCACATGAACCGCATGTCGCTATTTCCTTACCTACCGTTTAACCATGAAAATACCACTTTAATTACACATGTTGGGGAAACACTCAAAACCAAGAAAACATTATTTTTGTATATAACAGTGTCGTCACATTACATTGGATGTCGGTTTATTGATTTAACCTTGTAATAAGTTGTATAATAATCAGTCAATAATTTATACAGGGTATTTGATCTACTACGTTACATACCCTCCATTAGCAAAGGGTTGCAAGTTACTTAACGATGTCAATCCCAGTCATTTTCAATTGGATAAGAAAATAAAATGCAGACAAGCCTGTCATCTCCCAAATATCAGGGGTTGGGCAGAGTAGTGTTGTGCAGGGAGGGTAAACCTACATTTACACATAAAGATTAATCGGGCCGATTTCTGGTTTTGCCGAATGTTAATGACGAATGTTGTCAATTGACGACGTCAGATGACGATGACAGCGTACGTGTTTTTCAAATATAATTTAATTAAAGCTGAATCGGCCTGATTAATCGTTGTGTGTAAACGTACCTCAACGCGAAGCCCTGTTAACCATATTTCAACATAATTTTGAACTAGACCAAACCATTCTCGCCTTATGGTAAAATTATCAATATTATAATTATCATATTGATTGTTTCCATAAATCGTGGTTCGTAGTTCCCATGGAAACCAAGTTTGTCATATGTTAAGTACACTTGCTTGCAATGTGTTCATTGTAAACTGGAGTAGACCTAATCAACTAACGCGTAAACATGAAAAGCATCAGTTTTGCAAAGGATATTATTAATTTTAGTAAATGATATCTACTTCAGATTATCATAGACTGAGCAAGCTGTGCACAATGCAGTTAAACCTGCTGATATTGTAGTGTGTAAACAAAAATGCGTTAGGTAATTAGGTCTATTACTGGAGGATAATGGTATAAAGAGTAAAGTATTAAGTATATGGATTGATATTTAGTGCATGCTGAGGCTTTTTGTTCTTTTAAAAAGGCCAATGGAAAATTGCTTTGCATCAGAAGGTTATGGTTTGTTTGAGACTTTAATGAAACAAAGTGGCATGCGCATCATTGTCCACCATATTACACCTAATTTGAAAGCACAAAAAACTCTGCGGGGACTAAATTTCAAAGGCTGGTCGTTTAAAGCCGTGTTACACTACAAGCCTTGGCCAGCTTCACTGATTGGCTGACTCGTTTAATCAACCAATCAGCATAATCCAACTAGGCCAAAACAGGCCTAGTGTAAACACAGCTTGAAGGGAATGTCAATAAAGGTATTAAGTGTCTCATTTGAAATGATGTAGGAAGACCTTTACCATTTTGACCAGAAACAACGTGTATTCCGCCATCATGCTTTTTTATACTTAACTGGGGTTTTGATGACGTCATAACAAGGATATACTGTTAAAATTACCATGTGATAAGTTTTTTAATATTCTGTTATTAACCAGTTCGAAACCATTTCCAACTGGTTAATAACAGAATATTAAAAAACTTATCACATGGTAATTTTAACAGTATATATTTTAACAGATAAAAATCGACTTCATGATGAAATCGTCGCCAAACGCACCCTGGCGTCGTGCATAATGAAGCATGGGCACAGAATAAGGCATGGGCCAAGATGGCGGCATGCATGCTGTTTTAGTCGAAATATTGTGAAAAACAATAATGGTTTAGAAAACTTGTAAAATGGTCGTCATATATCATTTTAAAAGTTCTTTCAAATGAGAAAAACTTAATATTTTATTGCCATTTTGAAACATGCATGCACATATTCATCATTAATCATTATTGCATCATTAAACATATTCTGGTTTGCACCGGTTGTATTTGATAAATGTTGTATTCTCCATCTAATTCAGGCAAGTCGATCTTTCCCTCTCAAGGTAAAAACGTAAGCACTTACATTCTTAAAACTAGGAAATAACGCTCGTAAATAACGTAAATAATGCTCGTAAATAACGTAACCGCGCTTGTACATACAACGCACTGTACCACAGTGTAATTCGGGTGCCTATCGATGGTATCGTAACCATTTTAGAACAGCTGTTTGGGATGATGCAATCAACATGCATGTCTTGCATGTCCTTTGTGTGAATTGGTAAACTGGCAAATGTCAACCATGTTGGGTTTCCCCCCAAATATCAGAAAGCTTGATTAGAGTTCGTCGGCGTGCCTGGCTGGCGTGCAAATTACCAATCTTATCAGGGGCGTCAATCATGAGGGAGATGGGGGACGCACTCACGACTATTTGGGACGGGGATAAAGAAATTATTTCCCTCTACTTTTAGCTATATTTTGCTTTCCCAAGTGGTTCAATACCCATCCAAGGTTAAGGACGCCATCTTGAATCTATTGTTTTCACCATTGTGTTTGCACCCCTGCAAATTTACCTATAGGGAATTCCATTGTGTTTGCAGCCCTTGCACTATTGTGTTTCATTGATGGCGTCTTCAACCTTGGAAGCGTCTATTCTCTTACCAGTCTTTTGTAAGCCACATGGGATTTCAACGTCCATCACTCGGTGTATTCGCTGCTGGCCTATAGGTATACCAAAAATCGGACTAAATCGAATATAGAGTCTTTAACTTCTGTGTTGTTATTGAGTAAAACATTTCACTTTCACTAAATTTTGACTGAGACCTGTAGCAGCGTCAATTAGTCTTTCACATTCAGATATAAGAGATTATTCTGCAACCAATTGTTCATATTTAGCTCCAAATTTAGAGTTTTCAGAAAAAAGAGAACCTTATCGTACGCATACATCAAAATACTGCAACGTACAGTACAATCCAGTAGCTCATTTTATGAAAAGAACAAACGATAGCGGGCCTAGTGTAGATCCCTGAGGTACACCGCTGATCATCTTACAAAAATCAGACGACTTGAAGATAATCTCTAAATCACAAACATTCCTTATATCGTGGCAGTCATAGACTCGGATAAGCGATACCGATAAAGGAAAATGTCGCTTGGCGCGAACAAATTCCTAATGGAAAACCAGCGACTATGAACCATTTTTGACTCACAGATGTTGCGAAGCAACGGGTAAATAGAAGAAATACATCACCTATACAGTCGCGCGAAAATACAAAGTCAATCTTAAGACGATAAATAAAAGATAGAATTATATTTACGAGTATTTCTAGTATTTCATTCAGGCGAAAACACCTCACTCCAGTGCATGCAATTTACATTTAATGAAATAAACACAATCTGTCGCTCAGTTTCTCTGACTAATATTAATGATAATATCTCAACATTAACATCCTGACAAAATATATTACACTGAGGCGAGCAGGCCTAGCAAATCGCCCGATTTTTAAGTAGAATCTGCCCGACTACACAGACGGGGGCTACCACATCCCGTCTCGCACGCTTATGCCTTATGGTCGTTCCTTCACTTCTACCCTCCATTGGAGATCGAGAAGCGAAGAGAAGTCACGATAACAGGCTGCAAGAGAAATGCAGTGTTTGCATTGGGCGACCAGTCTTTGACCTCTGTTCTGAATGTACAGTAGATAGTCATGCATACTTTGTTATAAGCAATGCATAGCCTATCGAAGGGGAGATGGCTGTGAAACTCATTAGAATAACAATATAACTCCGTTATCTATGTTAGTCAACGTTTATTCATAAATCTGGACCTTCACCGTCACGTGCGTATTGTGTTTTTGCCCAACTAACCAATAGCAATGTTTTAGGAAAGTTACCTATCCGTGACTCGAACAATAGGGTAATTGGAATCACTATTAATTGGTGGATTGGGCAAAAATACAATACACACGTGACGGTGAAGAACTAGATTATGAATAAACGTTGACTAACATAGATAATGAGTTATATTGTTATTCTAATGCGTTTCGCAGCCATCTCCCCTTCGATAGGCTATGTTATAAGTAAATATCAACATTTTGGCATCTAACTCGATTGAATAATAGTTGAAAGGTTTTGTAGATGGAAATTATCGAGTGTAATTACATAGACCTAACCAAGAGCAGATGTGAAAAATGCAACGTAGTTACGTACTATAGGCCCCGCACTCTAACCAAGAGCAGATGTGAAAAATGCAACGTAGTTACGTAGTATAGGCCCCGCGCTCTAACCAGTTGTGCTACAAAGTCCAGTTGTCGAGCTCTTACACATAACCTAGCATGGCAGTATCCTAGTATACAGCTATTTCAATTAAGGTTGTCCACGAGCAAAGCGGAAAAGTCGAATACGAGCTCGAAAGGCTGCTGGGAATCGCTAATTAACAAATTGACGAATTTTCAAAGCGGTTCCCAGCAGCCTTTCGCGCTCGTATTCGACTTTTCCGCTTTGCTCGTGGACAACCTTAATTGAAATAGCTGTATATATACATGAACTTGTGGTTAGATTTCGACAACTGGACTCTGTAGCTCAGTTGGTTAGAGAGTGGTACCGGAATCGCAGGGCTGCAGGTTCAATTCCTGCCAAGGACCTATAGTTAGGTTGCATTTTTCGCATCTGTTCCTGGTTAGGTCTAATAAAGGTCTATAAATTTACACTCGATAATTTCCATCTACAAAACCCAAAAGCTTTCCAGCTTCAAAAAGGCAAACTTGTAGTAGTACATTATAAAAGTAGTATTTACCGTAACGTAAATAGATTATATTTTATTTAATATCCCGTATAGTTAAACGGAACAAGGTAAGTTCAAATAAAATGGAGATAAACCATTAAAGCCAGTTCAAACTGACCCAACATTTTGACCCAATAGGCAGTACCATCCGGCCAACAATTTTAATTTCAAACGTTTTATCCTGTTTCCTTGGTAAATATTTGAAATCTTATCAAATTTAAAGTAAGCAGTTAAACAAAATATTTCAACATTGTTGTAGGGAATTGTAGGGTGTTTCGAAAACGAGCCTGCGCACTATGTATGGGGTGGTTGAACTAAGGCTATTTAGTTTACCAGAGTTTACTCATACCAAATTGCGGAGACGAAATATCTTCATTCATGAAAGAATACCCATGCATCTTTTATTTGAATTAAAAGCTTTGCCGTTGACTGCGGTTTAACCTTAGGTTTCTATTTTTATTGCTCAAAGTTAGTTTCCATAACTGTTTTTTTGCCAGAATTTATCGGAACATTTTCGCGACACACAGCGTACAGCTTATTCTCGCGAAAACAATTTAAATAAATATTTTATGGTCTTTGTTTTCGTAATATGAAAACGAACGCCCGTCTTTGTTTTCGCGGAAATACAAAAACCAAGATGGATCTTTGTTTTGGTAATACGAAAACCGGGAAGACCTGTCTCTGTTTTCGTAATAGAGAGACTCAGATTGGACGTCCTCTATCGCTACCATTCAAAGACCAATAGACCAATTTAACCAATCAGATACGTTTGATATATTCGATTAACCAGTCACATGAGTACTGAGCCAGTGAGAGGTAGTGGTAGCAGTAGTGGAAGTAAAATCTGAACCTCTATAATACGAAAATGAAGACGGGTCTTTGTTTTCGTAATTATGAAAACGAAGACGCATCTCAGGTCTTCGGTCTTCGTTTTCGAGATACCCCATTGTTGTATGATATCGAGCCAAACCAGTGAGCTTCATATCATATCTGGAGTGAGAACTTCAGTCGTTCAAAAAGTGAAGCCAAGATGGAGACCATTGTCATTGACGTCCAATAGCTCTGGAGGTCGTAAACAGCTTTTATACCATTTTTCCCAACTAATTCCATTTTTTTCTAACGGACCGTATCGCTAACCAAGTTATCAGTTCACAAAATCATAGTGTTATTCTTTAAGCTTAGCCGTAAATGGCACTGTTTTGAAGGACTTCGATCTTGCTGTCGCTATTAACGAATCCTTTTGCAGTGTTGCTGCTGACATACCACAACTAAACTTTACTCCCATACCTGTTTCCAACATTCCTGATGAGTACATTATTACCCGTGATGCCGTAGAACTTGCTTTGGTGGCTGTCCAAGATCGCAAGTCTGTAGGACCTGACGAGATTCCCAATTGGCTCTTGGAAACCTGCGCCACAACTATTAGCATCCCTGTGTGTTCCATGTTTAACTCTTCTATTAGAAAAGGTCGTGTCCCCGGGCTGTGGAAATGTGCGGATGTTCTCCCGTTGGGGAAGATCTCTAGACCGAAGTCTATTGATACGGACCTTAGACCTATATCTCTAACTGCATTGTTGAGCAAAATTCTTGAGTCTTTTGTTTTCAACTGGCTTGCACCTATTGTTATGCCATACATCGACCCTTTCCAGTTTGGTAGTGTGAAAAAGTCTTCAACCACTCACGCCCTCGTGCATTTAGTCCACTACTGGCTCTCTGCCCTGGAAACGCCTAACACCATTATCCGAACCTGCTTCATCGATTTTTCCAAAGCGTTTGATCGAATTGATCATAACATTCTGATGCGCAAGTTACAGCTTCTCAATGTTCCAGCGGTCCTATTAAACTGGTGTTCATGTTTTCTTCAAGGCAGACAACAGCGCGTCAAATTAAAAACTTGTAAATCTGATTGGAAAGAAATAAAAGCTGGAGTTCCGCAAGGTACCAAACTTGGTCCTCTGTTCTTTCTTATAATGGTCAATGATCTGTCCAGCGAATTGCCTTTGTACAAGTATGTTGACGATTGTGCAATCTCTGAAGTCGTTAGAGTATGTGAACCGGATCTACCAAAATTACAGCAAGAACTTGACAACGTGACCCAGTGGTCAAGTGCGAAAAACATGAAGTTGAACGTTAAAAAAACTAAAGATTTCACCGTGTCATTTTTGATCAATCAACCCTTGGCGCAACCCTTGATTGTCAATAACCAACCCCTGGAGGCTGTTAATACCATCAAGCTCCTGGGGGTAAATTTGACCTCCGATCTTAAGTGGACTACACACATCAGGCACATATCCTCCAAAGCAAGCAAACGTCTGTACGCTTTAAGGATATTAAGAAGAAATGGTGTCCAACCGAGTGATCTTAGGACAGTATATTGTAGTTTTATCAGACCTGTCTTGGAATATGCGTGTCCACTTGTCCTTGTCCTACTTCGAAAGCCTCAAAGACCTAAAGTTGCCCACTCTCGAGGAGAGAAGGGAATTGTTATGCAGATCTTTTTACAAAAACAATTATAGTGACTCTTCGAGCAAAATTTTTAATCTATTACCTGAACCTTTAAATCATCAGTACAATCTTAGACATTCCCGAGCTATCTCACTTTTTAAAACCCGAACTAAATGCTATAATGATAGTCTTTTGCCATATTGCGTACGCAAATGGAACTCTTTTTAACCTTTTAGGCTTCTATAGATTAATATATCATTTGTAAATTAGCAATCCTACGTTATTGTAATTAGTATTACCAGCGTATGTATAATCTGTATATACGTATTTTGTTCTACTATTTTTAAACTATGTAAACTTGTGTTTTTCAGTTCGATTTTGAACTGCCATTCAAGTATTTTAATAAATCTAATCTAATCTAATCTTTAAATCGATGTCAAAATACGAAATTTCGGCGCACTCCTTACCAAGATGGCGGAAATTGAAGGAGCTATTGGACGCCAGTTATCGGCCAATTCCAGTCCCTTTCTATTGTTTCTGTCTGCGCGGTTAACACGAAGCTGGCTACACTTGAGTTCTCGCTGCAGTGCCCTGGTGTCCCTCAAGGCACACGACTTGGGCCTTGGCTATTCTTAGCCATGATAAATGACCTTGTGTTACATAATCACCTTTCAGAAATGTGGAAATTTGCCGACGATACTACGGTCTCTGAAATTGTTGAAAAAAACGAACAAAGTACTTTACAAATGGATATCGATGATATTACTACTTGGTCTATGGACAATTCCTTTCAACTAAACCCATTTAAATGCAAAGAAATGGTAATATCCTTTTCACGATTACCACCTGTTTTTGAACCTATACGTATTGGTGACAGAAATTTGGAAAGAGTGACAAGTATCAAATCGCTTGGAGTTATATTAAGAAATGACCTTAAATGGATAGACCATGTAAATTCAATTGTCTCCAAAGCAGCTAAACGTTTATATTTGTTGAGGCAACTCAAACGTGCTGATGTCGCTTCAGCAGATTTGGTCAAATTTTTTTGCAGCTGTATAAGGTCTGTCCTCGAATATGCGTGCCAATTATTCCATAGTTCCCTGCCACGAAATCTTGCAAAAAACATTGAACGTATACAGAAGCGAGCAATGAAAATAATATTCTATGAAATGTCTTACGACGAGGCTCTTAACATCGCTGGTATTTCCACTCTTGAAAACAGACGGGAGTATCTATCCAATAATCTCTTCAACGACATTGTTTTAAATGATGATCATAAACTTGCCAAACTTTTACCATCCAAAGCAGGCAAAAGAGAATTACGAAAAGAAAGATCTTTTGAAGTTTTACCAGCAAATACAAATCGTTTCGGAAACTCTTTTATCAACTTTTATGCTAAGAAACATTACAAATTAGATGTTCCTTGAACATTTTAGGAATTTTTAACTCATATAGATTAGTACATTTAAGTATATGATATATAGTATATATTAACAATTTTTAAATTGCATTGTAATATAGAATTTTTTACTATTTATAACCTTGTAACACTTAACGTCATGTAATTCAGTCTTCTGACTGCCAGATGATGTTTTTATTAAACAAACTATTCATTCAAACAAACTATTCATTCATTCATTCATTCAGATATAGAT